ATGCATATGTCAATGACGAAAACGATGACGACGATGATGATGATGATGTTGCTGCTGATGATGGTTGTGGTGATGATGCTGATGGTAATGTTGGTGGTTGTATTGATAATGATGCTGATGATGATGGTGATGATGGTGATAATGATGATGATGATGATGATGATAATGATGATGATGAGGATGATGATGATGCTGATGATGATGATGATGATGATGAGGGTGAATGTGAGGATGAGGGCGATGGTGATGATGCAGATATTGATGCTGAATTAGATCAGGGCTGATAATGTCGCTGATGATGCTGCTGGTGGTGATGACGGTAATGATGATAGTGATGGTGATGATGGCGAAGACGAGGATGTTGATGATCGTGGTGATGGTGAGTGTGAAGGTGGAGGTGAATCTGCTGATAATGATGGGGACGAAGAGGAGAGGGATGTTCGTGCCATGGCCCGTGTCGGCCTGACCGCCCAGTGCAGCGCAGCGGGATGGTGATGATGACCGTAAAAGTGAGGATGCTAATTTTGATGATGACGACGCTGACGACGAGAACAGTGATGAGTACGATGATGTGGACTATGGTGATGGTGATGGTGTTGATGATGATGATGATGATGATGATGATGATGATGATGATGATGATGATGATGATGTCGATGATGAGGAGGAGGAGGAGGAGGAGGAGGAAGCGGAATAGGAGGAGGAGGAGGAGGAGGAGGAGGAGGAGCGCGCCGAGCTCTTGAAGGGAAAGAGTCTGCATGAGCATCGACGCTCGGAGGGCCGCGCGGATTTCTTCTTGGGTGTGGCCCTGACACCCCGCCTGGCGGCGTCTCCGGCGCAGTCCTCGCTCCCTGGCGGGAAGTACATTTGTTATCGACAGGGCCCGTCCGACATCTCCTTTGTCTCATTAATCAGAAGCTGGGCGAGGGCCCGTCCGACATCTCCTTTGTCTCCTTTGTTATCGACAGGGCCCGTCCGACTTCTCCTTTGTCTCATTAATCAGAAGCTGGGCGAGGGCTGCTAAAACCGTGGCTGCTAAAACGGCCCTCCCGGAAGGAAACAACAGCTTCCCGGAGTGATGCGCGGCACGCGAAACAGTCAACGGGCTTCTTCCCGGAAGGACGAAGACAACTTCCCGGAGGTCGATTTTAGCAGCCACGGATTTAGCAGCCCTTGCCCGGCTTCCGAATTAACTCATCCGCGAGGAGAAAACGCGACATGTGCATACATTGTCGGGATCCGCGCGGAGCGCGCCAGGGGCGGCGCCGGAGGCGCCGCCAGGAGAGTCCAGCGCCGACGCAAGAAGTCAGCGGTGACTTCCGAGAGTGTTTGTTCATGTGGACTTGTCGTCCTATCATATTCCTGGTGACGAGCGGAAGGGAGCATGTAGGAGCAATCCTAGACCAGCGACAGAGACTGATCATCGGAGAGCTGACGGCCCAGGGCGACACAACGGCGACGCTCCTCATGGCCAACCCCCGACCCGGGGCCCAGGACTTGCCGTAATTAGCAGATCCTCTGAACGAGAAGGGAACCACTAATCATTCCAAGCCAAGCCACACCGCGGCATCGTCCGAGTAGATAGGGTGGGGTGCGGCAGCGGCTAGATGTGGCACTTTCGCATGCAGGTGCTTATCGAAAGGGCGATCCCGCTCACAGCGTATGGAAAGGGGGGGACGCTCCAGCAGCTCTGGCTGGCAGTTCTGCAAGAGTTGGGACTTGTTTCCCCCCTCAAAATACGAACTGCGCCTGTGACACGCCAGGAGACTCCACGACGCGAAGATCGCGCGGCCACCGGAGGGGGAACCAGCCATAAGTCGATCCTGCTGGCAGAGCGGCACGTGACCTCACCGCGAGGGACAATGCATTCAGCAGAACAAAAATCAAACGCGTCAGAGGTCTTGTCTCCCGACCACTAGCGACGACGCACTGCTGCGCGAAGTAACCCATTTCATCGCCTGAGCGCACACATGTCTGCACATTGGCTCCAAGAGAAGTGGCGCAGCCAGCGACTCGAGGTGCACAGACGACGGGTTCAGCCCCCCTGCGCTGCCAACATCTGCGCGCGCCATGACTGTCCCAGAGGGCACGACTTCGAAGCCTGAGATCCCGCCAGTAGGCTCCAGCAGGCGCGGTGTGGTGTAGTGTCCGATGAAAAGCCCCGCGTCCGAAGCTCGACCCTGCTGGCGCCAAGAGGAGGTATGTCGAAACGTAGCCCTTCCATCCGAGGCCGGCAACCCAGGGCCCGGCAGCCTCAAAACCCTCGTGATCTGGACGAAGCTCCTGCGCGGCTACCACGGCGATCCCCCCCGGCGCTCTTCAGCAGGAAGCCCTCGCAGCCGCGCCAGCAAGGCCCGTTGACGGACGCGAGTTTAGCCACAGTCTTCTTCTCTACTTGCGCGCCGCCCGACGAGCAGCCCGACTCGGCGAGGGGGGGGGGGCGCAGTCCGCTGGTGGCGCGCACACGGGGACGGCGAGAGGGGTGGCCGTCAAAGCAGGCGGGGGGGCTTCCGGGAAGACAGGGGCCCTCCTGGCACGGAGGATTTCGAGAAGGCCTTTCAAAAGCACACGCAGGCGGGTTGTTTCCTGGAAGACAGGGGCCCTCCTAGAATGGCACACAGGATTTCGAGAAGGCCTTTCAAAAGCACACATGCCCTCCCAGGAAAGCCCCGGGCTCCTGAGAACTCCCCCCCACCAGCCCCACCCCCGCTGACCCCCTTGCGCGCGCTGACAAGTCCGCGTGCGCCACATACCGTCACATACCCTGACGCGCCGCCGTACGGAACAAGCTTGTCAGCCGCCCTGGGACAGGCGTCTCCGAAGGCAGAAGAGTTAATATGATGCTGTACTGCTCTTCGTTCGCCAAAGGCCTGCGGGGCGCCAAATGCCCTTGGCCTGGCAGCGTTGCCTCTCTGTCGCGCGACCAGCGCGTGGACGCCGACAGTCTGGCTCAGGAGGCGGTTTCAGCTTGATCCCGTGCACCTCGTCGCGCGATGATGCCACCGGGACGCCCCGTCCGCCGGAGATGCCATCGGGACGCCGCACGACGATGCCATCGGGACGCCGCACGAAGATCCAATCGGGACGTCACACGAGGATGCCATCGGGGCGCCGACAGGCCGGGGCGGGCATCTCGTCGCACGATGATGCCATCGGGACGTCTCGGCCTGCGGCGGCCGCGGCTGATGACGCCTCGCCCCCCGGGCGCCGCACGGCGCGCGAGGGCGCCGCGGCGGCGGCGGTGCTCTCGACGCGCGGCCTGCGGCAGCTCGTCCGCTGGCGGCGCGCGCGCCTCCCGGGAACCCACATCTCTGACGATGCGACGCCGTTCCGAGCCGCGCTTCTGTGTTTGAGTTCGGCCCCCAGGGCCAGGCTGTGGAGCCCCAGGGCCGTCCAGAGTGGAGCTGGGGCGGCATGCTGGCCCCAGGGAAGGGGTCGGGACCTTTCTGGGGGGGGGCGCGGAACGGGAAGAGGCAGGCGGATCGGCGGATGTCAGGGATGGCGGCACGTAACCGCCCACCAAACCACTCCAACCCAACCCGAAGGCCCCGATTTGCCCTCCATTTCCAGTGGGGGGGGTTCGAGGAACATGGGGAAACAAATATGAAGCCCCTACCCCTCATGAAAGTCGGGTGTTTTGGGTTGGGGTGGTCTGGTAGGTAGTCAGCATCGGGGGGGGGGGCTCAGCGGATGGCGAGGGAGCTCCTAAGAGTGGCCCAGGCGTCTCTCAGCAGGGCAGCCGCGCCTGCGCCGGGACCCCACGCAACGCCCGGATTTGCGACGCCGTGAGCACCAGAGGCACGGCCGCCCAAGTTGGGCTCGCGGTGGGGCGCGTTCGCTGCGCGGACCGCCCCGAGAAAAAGAAGAGATGGAGGAGGGGGAGGATGAGGAGGGGGGGAAGGAGTGAGGAGAAGGAGGAGGAGGAGGAGGGCGAGAGGGCGGGGGATAAGGGTAGGTATCCTCATCCTCCCGTCCCACTCGCCTCCTCCTGATCTTCCACGTCTGATGTTTTGGGGGCCTCGCGGGAGCCTCCTGTGCCGTCTTGGGTCGAGTTTGAGGGCCTCTTGGGCCGTGGTGGACGTTGCCAAGACCCAAGAGGCGATGATGCGAGAATTGTCCGAGAACCTATATACATATTCTCCTGGGCAGCTTGACAATAAGGGTCCCAGTGTCTCCCGTCACGTGGCCTCCCATTGCCGTCCCTGTCCGCCGCCCACCCCCCTGTTTCTCTCTGTCTCTCTCTCTCTCTCTCTCTTTCTCTCTCTCTTTCTGTCTCTCTCTCTCTCTATACATATATATATATATGTATACAGGTGTATATATACAACTATCATAGACCATCGATCATTTTTATATATACACATATATATACATAAATCATGGACCATGCTCCATGCTCCACATGTCATATATATATATACATACATACACATACACATACATATACCTATATGGATATCCCCATACGGATCCCCTTCCCCATCCCGACTTCTATCCCTGCATACCTTGCCCTACATCCCTGCCCCTGTCCCGACCCCTTGTCCCGATCCCCCCATCAAGGTCCCCCATCGTAATTGTCAAGAGCTGTTCAGGGTCTCTGCCGCGAGGATGCCACTGACCATCTGGAAGGGCCTTTCGGGGACCCGACCTGGAGGCCATGTTGGCGATCTCGGGGGGCCCACCTGGCGCCATTGTTGACTGTACATGCTAATCTGTAGCCCCTTGGTCCAAGTAAAAACCATCGACATGGTAGCGGAGCGGCGTGGGTTCATTCCCGCTGCCGCTTCCCTTCCGGCCACCCGCGGCGGGCGCGCGCGCCCGCGATAGGGCGGCGGCGGAGGCCGCGCCCTGGCGGCTGGCAGCGGCGAGGGCCGCGCCAGCCGGCCCTTCATAGCCCAGCACGCCGCCGAAGAAGAAGAAGAAGACTAAGCGTGGCTCGAGGTCGAACAAAGCAGACATCCTGAGGAGTAGGAAGTTCGACGAGAAGCTCGATCTGAAGTATGGAGGAGATCGAGAGACGCTTCCAGGCGCTCGAGGGAGCGTTGCAGGCTGCAGAACAACGGGTGCAGGCTGCAGAGGAGCGCGCCCTGGCGGCGGAGTCAGCAGCAGCGAGCGCAGGCGCCGCCGTGAACAGGCCCGTGGCAGCGGCGAGGGCCGCGCCTCAGGACCTGGTGGACACTCGGCTTCTGGCGAAGCCGAAGGCGTTCGGAGGCAGCGAGGACGAGTGGCCAGGGTGGAGCTTCAAGATGCTCGCGTACCTCGGGGCCCTCGACGAGCAGATGGCCAACGAGCTGACAGCAGCCATGACGTTCCCGCTGGAGGAAGTGAGGAACGCGAGACTCCTGGAGGAGGGAGCGAGTCAGCGCAGTCGCCAGCTGTACTTCATCCTCGTCCTGCTGCTGGAAGGAGCCGCACTGCAGCTCATCAAGCCAGTCGGCGTCGGAGAAGGTTATCGGGCGTGGAGGACGTTGCAAGACATGTACGAGCCCGACAGACCAGGTCGCCATGCAGGACTGCTGCAAGAGCTGATCGCGTTCCAGTTCCCAGAGGACAACATCGTGGGGATGCTGGCGGACTTCGACTTCAAAGTCACGAAGTACGAGAGCCAGAGCCACGAGAGGATTGGGGACAGGATCAAGATGGCGATCCTCCAGAGGGGGATTCAGGACGAGGCTCTTCGAGCGCATCTGGTCCACAATGCGTCGAGGCTAGTCACGTGGGAGCTCATGCGCAACGAAGTGCACATGGTGATCTCGACGAGGAGCGCCATCGCAGCAGTGCCGCCACCAGTTCCGATGGACACGAGCGCGGTGGAGAAGGCGAGGCGCGAGGCGGCGTCGAAGGGCAAAGGAAAGAAGGGCAAGGACGGCAAGGGCAGGAAGGGCAAGGGCAGCGACAACTCCACGGACCAGAAGAGCCAGGCGGCCAAAGACAGGGCCGAGAAACGATGCTTCCACTGCCACAAGACAGGTCACGTCAAGAGCGATTGCAGGAAGTTCCTCGCAGAGCAGAAGAAGAAGAAGGGCACCAACGCCGTCGAGCAGGAGTCGAAGCCGACGGGAGCTCCACCAGCGGCGAGCGCCGCGGGGAGCGCGGCGCCAGTGATGGCGATCGCGACCGAAAGCGGGGCAGAGCCATTGTGGTGCCTCGCGATCGAGCTGGGAGAGCTGGGAGAAGGGCAAGAATCATCATCGAGTGGAGCAGCAGCGACACCCTCAGCCCCAGCAACGACAGCGATCCACCGTCGTTCGAGCGGGCCGTCAAGCGAGCACGAGCAGCCGAGGCGGCCATCCTTGGTCGGAGGCAGCCCGATCGAGCGGCTGAGCCCGCCAGAGGCGTCAAGCGAGCACGCGCAGCCGAGGCAGCCATTCTTGGTCGGGGCCAGTCCGATCGAGCAGCTGAGCCAGCCAGGGGCAGCAAGCGAGCACGAGACGTTCGAGAGCAAGGAGATCATCGGTATCAATGAGCACTGGGTCATGGTGGACTCGGGTGCTGCACGATCGGTGTGTCCGCCGAGTCACGGGGCCCACGAGACGCTCAGAGACCTGAGCGAGCGCATCAGGCTGGTCGGAGCGAGCGGCGACGACATCCCGTGCCACGGCGAGCGCTTCGTCACGTACACGAAGGGCGGGCACAAGATCGGGGTGGACTACAAGGTCGCCGACGTCAAGAGGCCAGTGCTGGGCGTGTCGCAGGCGGTCGACAAGGGTACGTCGTGGGTATTCACGCCGAGCGGGAGCTACATGATCCCGAAGCCGATCGAGTTCTCGGACCCAGACGCCGTGCCGCTGGTCAGACGCAACGACCTGTTCTACCTCAAGATGGACAGGTACGGTGAAGGCGTCAAGAACTCGCTCGTCATGCCGGTGCGGGGCGAGGAGCCAGGAGGCGAGCCTGGCGGCGCATCAGCTGCGTCCAGGGCAGCGGCGAGGGCCGCGCTCCAGGGCGGCAGCGGCGGAGGGGCCGCCGCGACTCGCGCTCAGGCCGAGGCGAGCGAGCCAGCAGCGCAGGCAGAGCTCGAGGAGTCCGTGCCAGTCCGAGTCAAGAAGGATCCAGTGAAGCCAAGCTTGGCCGAGCAGAGGACGCACGAGCTGGTGCACATCCCTGCGAGGTCCTGGTGCTGGGTGTGCGTCAGATCCAAGTTCACGGACGACCCACACTACAAGGCTGGGCACGAGCGCACGGGCGACGAGGTCCAGATCGACTACTACTTCCTGGGCCAGCTGAGCATCCTCAACATGGTGCACATGAACTCCCAGGCTATTCATGGCATCATGGGGCCGAAGGGTACCGACGCCTACATGATCAAGACAGCGGTCGCCACCATCGAGAACTGGGGGCTGGATCGCATCGTGCTGAAGCACGACCAGGAGGCGTCGATCACGGCCCTGGCGAGGGAGATCAAGGCTCAGAGGAAGGCGCCCACGATGATCGAGTCGGCTCAGCGGGCTAACCATCAGGGAGTTGGTGGAGTGGAGCGCGCCAACGAGGAGCTCGGCAAGCAGATCAGGGCGCTGCTGTTCTCGGTGGGCGACAACTACAAGCGGGAGCTCCCAGCCGAGCATGGGCTCCTACCTTGGCTCATTCGGCACGCTGGCTGGCAGCTCAACCGCTTCACGATGCACGGCAACGGCAAGACGACCTACGAGGTGCTCAAGGGGAGGCCGTATCGGGGCGAGCTCGTCAACTTCGCGGAGTGCGTTTGGGCGAGGGACCCCACGCCGACCTCCAAGCTGCAGCCTCGGTGGCACGCGGCGGTGTGGCTGGGCAAGACAGAGGTCTCGGACGAGCACCTGGTGGCGGGTCCGACGCGCACGACAAGGGTACGCACGGTAAGACGGCGGCCGGAGGGTGAGCGGTTCGTGCTGGAGGAGCTGGACAAGTTCGCTGGGGTGCCGTGGGACATGCACCGAGCTCCACAGATCGGCATCGTGCCGACGGGAGCGCCCCAGGTGGAGCCGAACCAGCAGCGGCTGCTGCCGCCACCTCCGCCACCGCCAGTGGTCTTGCCAGCCGCGGGCCCGGAGGCGCTGGTGCCACCAGCGATGGTCGGGCCGGCGCCGCCCACGGGGCCAGGAGGCGCAGGGCTGAGATCGACGTACATCACGAGAGCGCTGATCGACAAGTACGGCTGGACCCCCATGTGCCCGAGGTGCGTCACAGGCATGGGATCGCACAGCGAGGAGTGCCGGAAGAGGATCGAGAACGAGCTGCGCAAGGAGGAAATGGCCAGGGCAGCGGCGGAGGCCGCGCCCTCGTCGGCAGCGGCGGGGGCTGCGCCGACGCCGGCGGCGGCTGGAGCCGCGCCGGGGCCAGCGGCTGGAGCTGGAGACGGCAGGCCAGGATCGTCCGGGGATGCCAGCATGGCACCTCGCGATGACCAGGGCGAGGCTTCGGCGAAGAGGCCGCGCCAGACAGCGGCGATCACAGTCGGGTCGCTCGCGGTCGGGGCCTTCGTGGAGATCAATCCCTGCACGTACGAGGGCCTAGACCAGCAGTCTCACGAGGAGCTCGAGACGGTCACGGAGATCGAGAGCTGCGAGCCGCTGGAGATCGGGATGTTCGAGGTCGGCTCCGTCGAGCCGTCGGCGATCACGGTCCTGCCAGACGCGGAGAAGCACGTGTACGACGCGAGGAGCGGGAAGGAGCTCCCCAGGGACCTGGTCAGGCGCGGACGCGAGGCCGAGATCGAGGAGATGCGGCGACACGGCGTCTTCGAGGAGGTCCGCGTGGCCGAGAGTCGGGGCAAGGTGGTGCGTTTCAAGTGGGTCGAGGACCTGCGCACCAAGGACGGCGCCCCCTTCGTCCGTTCCCGAGGCGTCGCCATGGAGATCAACACGTACGGCCGAGAGGACTGCAACGCGGGCACGCCGCCGATCGCCATCGTCAGGGCGATCGTCTCCTTGGCGGCTACGAAGAAGGGTCGGAGGCATCTCTCGGTGCATGACGTGCACGTGGCGTTCTTCCACGCCGACCTCGACGAGTGGATTGTCGTCATCCCGCCTCCAGGACTCAGGAGAGACGGGTACGTGTGGCAGCTTCGGAAGGCCATGTACGGCACGCGCAAGGCGGCACAGGCTTGGCAGGAGTACGTGGCCGGGGTGTTCAAGAAGAACAACTGGACGCGCATCGCAGTGGCGGCGGGCGTGTACCACGAGCCTCTCTTGGACATGACCTCGGCGATCCACGGTGACGACATCCTGACCGAGGGCGAGGAGGAGTCCCTGGATGTCCTGGACCAGCAGCTGATGGCGAGCATGGACGTCAAGTGCATCGGTCGTGTCGGGCCGGATGGCGTCCGCGAGCTCCCGTACCTCAAGCGCAAGATCAGGTGGACAGGCAAGGGATTCGTCTGGATCGGCGACACGAAGCACGTGACGAGATGCGTGGAGCTGCTGGGCCTTACGGAGTGCAAGCCAGCGGACACGCCTGGGAGCAAGGCCACGGGCAAGAGCGTCCGGGAGGCGCTGGACCCACTTCCACACGACGAGGCGAAGCTCTACCAGCAGGTCGCGGGGCTCGTCAACTACGTGGCGGTAGACAGGCCAGACATCCAGTTCGCAGTGAAGGTGATCCTCACGGACATGGGGAAGCCCACAGTCATCAGCATGCTTAGGCTGAGGCGGTGTGTGCGGTATCTCCACGGTCGGCGCGAGCTCGGGTGGTTCTACGAGAAGCAGGAGATGCCGAAGGAGGTTCTCTACGAGACGGACTCGGACTGGGCAGAGGATGAGATCACGAGGAAATCGACCAGCTCCGTGTATGGCTTCTTCGGCAGCCACCTCCTGGAGACCCAGGTGGCATCGCAGCCCGTCGTCGCGCTCAGCAGCGGAGAGGCCGAGTTCTATGCCATCGGCCGAGGCGCGGCGAGTGCGATCATGATGCGGCAGTTCTATCAGCAGTGTGGCATCGAGGTCGCGTCGAAGGTTCACAGCGACTCGAATGCAGGCAGGGCGATCGCGACACGGATCGGCAGTGGCAAGGTACGGCATCTACAGATACGGGACCTGTGGGTGCAGGAACGAGTCAGGCTCGGCGAGTTGCAGCTCGGGCGAGTCGACACGGAGAGCAACAGGAGCGACTTGGGGACCAAGCATCTGGACGGCAAGCGGGTGCTCAAGTTGCTGGAGATGTCCAACCTGCGGCTTCTGACCAAGGGGCTCGCCGCAGGTGTGGGCGTCACTTTCGCGGAGGCGGCCGAGCATGGAGACAAGCAGTGCTCTGCAGCCGCCGACGACGAGGTCGAGTCGAACATCGGCTCGATCGTTCTCGCCATGATCATGTTCATCATCGTGCTGGTGCTCGTGGTCAAGGGCGCAGTTGCGTGTACGAGAGGGGCGGTACAGCTCTTCTCATCGAGGGCGGCGAGTGCTGCCCCACCAGCGGGAGCGGCGAGGGCTGCCCCGCAGGCCGACGACACGGCGAGGCCCGAGGCGTCGTCGAAGGACGCGCCTGAAGGGAATGTCGTTTCTCGGGCGGCGGCGATGGCCGCGCCTGAGCGGGTCGCCACAGGGCGAGACCTCGGTTCGGAGTACCTCGGGAAGATGCTGGCTGAGGCCACCGTGGCAGAGCTCAAGGAGGAGCTCAGGTGGCGGAAGCTGCCAGTGGGCGGCTTGAAGGCGGACCTCATCGTCCGTCTGACGAGGGACGGCGGCCAGCACATGGCCAGCAGTGAGGGGCTAGCTGCAGCGGCATGGGCCGCGTGGCTGGTCCCAGGCAGGGTGCCCATCCGAGCGTTCCGCTCGGACGCTAGCCTAGGCGCGCACCTAGGCGCGCTTCTCAGCAGCACGGGGTAGGTCCGCGCCGAAAGAAAGACCCTTTGAGGGCCACCCAAGACGGGTGAGGGCGCGGCCAGAGGCCGCTCCTTTGAGCCGAGGGCGCGCGTCAGGCGCAGGCGCGCGGGAGCCACGGCGGGGACGCCCGCTTTGGCTTGAGCTTGAGCCTTCAGAAGGGAGGCTCGAGCCGCAGTACAGAGAAGATGCAAGGCGACGCGCTCGCCTGCATCTTGGAGGCGTGTTGACTGTACATGCTAATCTGTAGCCCCTTGGTCCAAGTAAAAACCATCGACAGCCATCCCTGTCTTGTTGCAGGCGTCCTCGGGGCCGCCACGCGGGCGGTGGGAGGGGGGCGGGGCGGCCGGGCGATCGCCCCGGGGGCGGGGGGGGGGGGGGCAGGAGCACGGGGCGCGCCTGGCCCCGAGCCATTTTTGCTGGCATCCACTCGTGCCGAGAGGCCAAAAACGCACGGCCAAAAGGCACAGACGCCCCCCCCCCCCAACAAAAAAAACTGAGCGCATGGTGGGCTGGATGCGCCGGGAGGGGGGGAGCTTTTCAGCTGCATCGCAGGGAGCGAGACAAGCGAACATGCAGGGGCCCGACACACACACACACACACCAGCCGCTGCAAGCGCGGTGGCGGATTTCGCCCACCTTCTCCATCCCGCTAATCCCCGCTCAGGGAGGAGGGGAGCGGGGGGCAAGGGGAAACGGGAGGCCGGATGGGGTGCGGGGAGAAGGCGGAGGAGGAGGAGGAAAAGGGTGATGATGATGATGATGATGATGATGATGATGATGCTGATGATGATGATGATGATGATGATGATGATGATGATGATGATGATGATGATGATGATTGTGATGATGGAGGTAGTGATGGTGATTTTGAATGTGATGTTGTTGATGGCGATGACGGTGGTGGCGATGCCGATGGCGATGGCGATGGCGATGGTGATGGCCATGGTGATGGTGATGATGTTGATGATGATGGTGATGATGATGTTGATGTTGATCGTGATGGTGATAGTGGTGGTGCATGATGGTGACGGTGATGCCAGGGGTGACAATGCGACGACGGCGACAGCGAATATGATGATGCTGATGCTGATGCTGATGAAGATGATGATGATGATGATGATGATGCTGATGAGGATGATGATGATGATGATGATGATGATGGTAATGGTGATGGTGATGGTTATGATTATGTTGATGATGCTGATGATGAGGATGCTGGCGATTGCGATGGAGATGGTGATAGATATGGTGGTGGTGTTTTTTGATGATTAGAATGGTGATACTGATATCGACGATGATGGTGATGGTGCTGATGATGATGGTTGCGATTGGAATGATGGTGGTGATGATGATGAAGATGATGATGAGGAGGAGGAGCGGACCACGAGGTGGAGGGGGAACGGGGCATGATGGGGGAATGGAGATCAAGGCGTCGAGGGGCACGTGGGAGGGGGGAGGGGGGGAGGAGGACCACCTCACCTTCCTTCCCCACCTGCAGTCTCCTCATCATCCTCTACGTGTCCCCATCTTCCTCCGTACTCCTGTCTGATCATCCTTCCTACGCCTTCGCTTGCCTTCTCCACCGCTCTCATCCGAGTTTCAGCTTTCGGCGTCCTAAGCTGTCTCCTTCCCACCTCCTCTTCATCATGTTGCTTCCCCCCCGCTTCCTTATCCCGCCTTCCTCATCCTCCGCCTCCTCCTCCTCCTCGTTCTCCTCCACCTTCTCGTCATCACGATCATCACGATCCTAATCTTCTTGCGCCGCTCTCCTCATCATCATCATCATCATCATCATCATCATCGCCACCATCAGTACCATCACAATCATCATCAGCACCATCATCACCGTTCATCACCATCGTCATCATCATCATCATCATCAGTGTCATCATCAGCATCAGCATCAGCACTTTCAGAAACATCATCAGCAGTATCAGCATCCTCCTCCCCAGCCCCCGGACGACCCGCCCTGACCCTGTGCCCACATGCCCATGGTACGTGGGTATTCGGACGGCCGAGGAGAGGCCAGAGATCTTGCCGCTGGACCCCACCAAAGCGGGCAAGCAGGCCAGGGGGGTGGAGCGAGAAGGAGGGGAAGGGACAGGGCACAGAGGGGGGAGGGGGGAACCGAGCCAGGGTAGGGGGTGGTGGAGGCATGGGGGGGGGAGAGAGGTTGAGACGGTGCGGAGGGGAGCGGAGACGGCGCGGAGGGAAGAGCAGGCAAGCGGGCACGACTGGCGGGACAGAGCCGCGAGACGGGGAGAGTGGACGTGCAGCGGAGGGGGCATAGATGGGAGGGTGGGGCGGCGGGGAAGGTGTGGAAGGGAGATGAAAAGGGACGATGGAGAGTTGAGTGGAATTGGAAGTGGGATAACGATAAGGTGATGTGCACATTTATGTATGTGTGTATGCGTGCAGTCATAAAGCTTTTTATATATACACACCTACGTACACGAATATGTGTATGTGTGTGCATGTATAGACTTGTAGACTTTATATGTGTGTAAATGTACACATGTTAGACAGCGAGGAGCCCAAGCAGTGAGTCACCGCACTGAAGGTAGAAGGTACGCTGTGCAAGCTATGTGGTGCACGCTGTGGTGTGTAAACGTTGTGGTGCGAGCTCTGTGGTGCAAGCTGTGTTGTGTATTTCATGTGGTGCTGACCAGCTGCGTACTTCGCACTGCTCGCGAGGGCGCCTGGAGCAGCGACGCAGCTGTCAAGGCTTGTTGAGCGATTCTGTGTCGCTGCGCATAGCCGCTTAAGCTTCACGTTCCGTCTCCATAAATGGCCATCGTTGGGTCACAACGTTGGCGCGCATGCCCAAGGATCTCAATGCTCTTGGTTCCGCGTTCTGTATTGCCGGGCTCACTCTCTAGGACGTGGGGTGTGTTTTCTTTCTCTTGTCACAGTTGTGTCGGTCGATCTGGCATTTCCCACACCGCCATCGTACACCCTTGACGCCTCCAAGAGGCTTCAAGATGCCGCCCAGACGCCCACAGAAACCGCGAACTGCTGAGGGACCTTCACAGGCCTCTCACCCAGGGGCGGCTAAATATTGTTTCAGCATGGCCCCAAAAGCCCCCGTGACGCTCCAAGACAGCTTCGGGACGACCCCTCCAAGAGCACCAAACAACCATCCTGTGGTGTTGGGTCCTCGTTTTGAACAGACGGCGCCCCGCATTCTCTTCTCCTCCGCGTCCTCCTTCTCCGCCTCCTCCTCCTCCCTGCGTTTTATCCACCCAGTACAGCGTTTCGTGGCCCCATAGGGAGCTCCACTTGACGTCCCAGTGGCGGAACCCACATGCGGATCTTGCGCCCAGAGCAGCGGAACCCGCATGGGGAGCTGGGAGACGGGCGACACATGGGCGCATGCGGAGGGCCAGGCGGGGCGCCAGGCGTTCCCGATCACCACGTACCAGCCGCTCTATTTCTGCGCGGAAAGCCTGGCGGATGCGAAGGCGAAGATCCCAAAGATGCCTCTGGGCCGCGCCGCCGGGCGCACAGGAGGCACACAGGAGCAGCAGGTGTCGGAGAAGGAGATGTGGGAGGAAGCGGAGGAGGAGGAGGAGGAGGAGGACGACGAGGAGGAGGAGGAGGAGGAGGAGGAGGAGGAGGAGGAGGAGGAGGGGGAGGGCGGCGCCGAGGACGTGGACGGGGAGGGGCGAGGAGGAGGAGATGAGGAGGAGGAGGAGGAGGGGGAGGAGGACGACGAGGAGGAGGAGGAGGAGGAGGACGAGGATGAGGAGGAGGAGATGAGGAGATTCGGAGAAAGAGGGGGAGGAAAAGGAGGAGCGAGGAGGAGGAGGAGCGAGGAGGAGGGGCGGGCAAGGCGAGGAGGAAGAGGAAGAGGAGGAGGGGCGAAGAGGATGATCATGACGAAGCGGAGCGGTGGGCGAGAATGTCGAGGAGGAGGAGGAAGGAGAAGGACACCACTCTGGACGCCGCTAGTGGCTACGGGTGCCGAGTGCCGGTCGTAAAATCTACGCTGGTTCGAAGATGAGTCCATGGCTCAGTCACTCTTCTGCACACCAAAGCCCTAGATGGATGAGTACCAGCGGGGGGACGGATGGCGGTGAGGTGGAATGATGGACGAGGAGGGGGAGGAGCACCAGCACCAGCACAAGCAGGAGGAGGATCGGTAGGAGGAGAGAGTGAACGGAGGAGAAGGAGGAGGGAGAGGAGAAGGAGATTGATGAAGAGGAGATAGGGAGGAGAAGGAGGAGGGGGAGGAGGAGCAGGAGCAGCAGGAGGATGAGGTGGTGTCGATGACGAGTGTCGGTGATTATGTTGATGTTGCTGATGATGATGTTGGTGATGGTGCTGATGATGGTGATACGGACGATGTTGGTGATGGTGATAGTGAGGTTGATGTTATTGTTTGTGGTGATGATGATGGTGGTCGTGATGGTAATGATGATGGTAATTGCGATGATGATGACGACGATGATTGTGATGATGGTGATGGTGATGGTGATTGTGATAATGATGATGACGATGACGATGATGAAAATGATGGTCATGATGATCATGATGATGATGACCATGGGGATGAGGATGAGAATGATGACGTGGAGGACCAGCAAGGAGATGATAATGGCGATGGCGGTGAAAATGATGATGATGTGGAGGAACAGCAAGGGGATGATAATGCTGATGCCGGTGATGATGGTGTTGCTGATGATGAGGTTGACGATGGTGATGGCACGAGTACGGATAATGATAATAGTACTAAGAAAATTCACAAACATATGAATAATAGTAACAACCATAATAATATAATAAGGAGAAGAATTGTGATTATGATAACGAAGATGCTGACAGTGATGCTTGTGGTGACGGTGATGTTGATAATGTTGATAACGGAGAGAGGGGGGAGTCGGGGGATAGGACGGAGAGGGCGGGGTGGCGGACGGGGGAAGTGTAGGAGGGAAGGAGGGAGGGAGGGAGAGGGGTGGGGGAAGAGCAGGAGGAGGAGGACGACGAGGAGGAGGGCGGCAGCCACCGCTCGCTCCCCAGAGCTGCGCTTTGCCCCCAGCGGGGCTGCGCGGATCTCGCACTTCTGCGACACCATGCCGCGCCCCTTCTTCCCGCAGTACGATCCCCTCACGCAGACCATCAAGGCCTCCCCGTCGTCTCCGCCCCCCCGCCGGTGCCCCAGATCTCCGACGACTGATTTCTTTTCAATCCAGACAGCGCTCCTCGATGTCGGCCTCGGGGGCCAGCTTTCAGGGGAAGAGGCTGGATGAGCCTGGCGCCCCTTCTGGTCATCGACGCTGCAGTAAACGCTTCGACGTGCAACGAATCAGTTGATGAACCCACTACCGAAGGAATCCAGTTGAAGATCTTCCACCAAAGGAATCACTGTGCAATCCCGCCGCAGAAAGGAATTCATGTGCAAATCCGATGCAAAAGGAATCAAGTTGTAATCGCCTGCCAAACATTTGACTACAGTTGAAAGGGAGCCAGACCAGGTTCGGCCGCCGCCGCTGAAAATCGCAAAAGCACGGAATCCCAAAGAAACCCATAAAAACACATCAAAAACAATGAACAACATAACACAGAGTGTGTTGCCATAGGCATTCGTTAGCTTTCATTGTTGATGGCTGTGTTATCGTCGGAGCTCCTTGTTTTCAATGTATTTATGTTGTGGTTGCGTACGTTTTCTTTGGTGGTCAGCTTTTTTTATATATAATTGTATGGTTCAGAAGTTTCATGTGGTGTGTTTTGTGCTTGTTATGTGTTCAAATGTGCTTAGTGTTTTTGCGTTGTTTTATGTGATGTCATGGTTTGTCTTCGGTTTCCGGCGTTCTTTGTGCTGCCATCTGCTTTTTGGTTTGTTTTTTTGCGTTCTGCTGAGTTGTCATGGTGTTATTGTTGCCTTTCGGCGAAGCGCAGCTGCTCGAAAGCAGCCCAGGCTTGAAGAAAACCACCGAGGACCGACGAGGAGACCGAGGAGAAGGAGGAGGAGGAGGAGGAAGAGGAGGAGGAAGCGGAGGAGGAGAACGAGGAGGAGGAGGAGCTGCTCGAAAGCAGCCCAGGCTTGAAGAAAACCACCGAGCACCGACGAGGACGCCGGAAAAAGCCTCCATCGATCGACCCGTGGACCTCTCCAGGGGGGTGCGCTCCGACCAGAACTTTCGAGGCGCATCCAGCCGTGGCCACGAGGGCCCCCCAGGACGATCCAGAGAGCGAACCTCGATCCTCGAGCCCCGAAAGCAAGGGCTCCCTCGAGGGCGCGAAGTTATTCGCGCTTCGCGCTTCGCGGTCCTCGTTCCTTCTCCCCCTCCTCCTCGTCCTCCTATTCTCCCTTCTGGGAGGGCGGCGCGAGAGCGCGAAGTTATTCGCGCTTCGCGCTTCGCGCAGCGCGAAGCGCGAAGTTGGGAGCCCTAGACGATCCAGAAAGCGAACCTCGATCCTCGAGCTCCGAAAGCAGCCCGCGCCTGGCAAATCCCCCGGAGCCGGCAGAGACGTCCAGAGACTCGCAGGCCTAGAGGCTGGCACCAACACCAAGATCGGCGGTGTGCCTCCACCGAGGGAAGAAGATCCAGATCTCGGTGCTGGTGGTAATAGTCTGGCTTCCAAGGTGGCCGAAATATTACCACCAACACCGAAATCTAGGATCACCTCCCCCCTGTGGAGGCAGCCCTCTGTCTTGGTGTTGGTGCCCATTTCCAGGCCTCCCAGAGGCGTCGCGGCCAGCAGCGGCGGCGACGACGAGCCGCTGCGGCGGCGGCGGCGGGCCTCCCCCGCCCGCCCGCTCGGGAGGGGGGGGGGGGGGCGCGTGGCCCCTGTGTTCGGTAGCATTATTTCGGGCCCGTCCCTCAGAGCCCCGAATCATCAGGGGTAACTCGGGTCAGGGATAACTCGGGGTCGTTTTTCGGGAATCCAAAAACGAGTTACCCCGGACCCGAGTTACCCCGGATAACTCGGGCGTCCAGAGCCCCGAATCATCAGGGGTAACTCGGGTCAGGGCTAACTCGGGTTCCTTTTTTCGGGAATCCAAGCCCGAGTTACCCCGGACCCGAGTTATCCCGGATAACTCGGGCGCCCAAGTCCCTCTACAGGAGGAATATTTTCAAAAAAATTCGAACACTTATTTTTTGACCATTCTGCAGCATTGTTTAAGTATAGCTTATGTTTCGTCGAAAATCCCCCTGTAGGGGGACGGGCCCGACTTGACGGTCCCACCTCATGGGAGCCCCGTGTGTCCTCGAAGTTCCGTCGTCAGAGTGCGCTAGCGCACGCTGGCGTCTGGTAGTCGACGAGAGAAAGCGCCGATTGGCGTCGATTCGGGGTCGGCTCGCGTCGACTAGCGTCGGCGAGCACTGTCGATTCGCAAGGGGCAGCAAGATGACACTGGAGGCTCCAATGAGCTGCCACAGAGTAGGCGGAGGCCTCCCGAATGGGGTCAGAGTAAGGAGTCGGCGGATGGCGCCGCATCGCCAATGCATCGGCGACGTCGGCGATGCATCGGCTCCGTCGGCGTGGAGAAAATCGGGCTCCACATCAAGCCGCATCGCTGGTGCATCGGCGATGCATCGGCGATGTATCGGCGATGCGGCGCGCTCCTCCGACCCCACGCGCTCGGACCCCAGTTTAGTTGAGTCGGGCCTGTCCCTCTACTGGAGGAGTATCCAAAAACAATCCAACAGATAGTCGGGGGACCAATTGTGGAGTATGTTTTTGAGCATTTTGGGGTTAGTTCTTGTGTATGTGTAACTTTTCGCTCAAATTCCAGTTGTGGGGGGACACGCCCGAGCTAACACTGGAGCGGAGAGGCCTGGACCCTGGGCCCAAGGTGCCCAAGGCCATCCAGCGGGCACCGCGCACGTCGACCGTGGAGCTGCAGGCCAGGCGGCAGAGCGAGTATTTCGACGCCAAGTAGGCCAGCAGGCGGGGCAGCGGGAGGGCGAGGAGGAGCAGGATGGGGGGGCAAGATCTCCTGCGATGTGATTTGTTTAGTCCTTTTAGGTTTCCTCGATCTCGACCTCCGGGGCTCGTTACCAGGCCCGCGCGCTTGTGAAAATGGATCCTGCCGCAAACTTAGGCCCAGGGGAAGGCTCGGGACCCTTTCTGGGGCCGCGGATGGAACAAAAGTAACACCAGCAGATGTTAGGGGGGGGGAGGGAGGTTCAAGGGTCGAATTTTGACAGTCAAGTTTTGCGGTTGGGGCCTCGGGAGGGCCCATGTGTTTGGGCCCCCATGTGTTTGGGCCTCGGGGGGGGCTCCCAATGTGTTTGGGCCTCCCAATTTGTTGGTTGCTCCCCCCCCATGTGCTTGGGCCTCGGGGGGGGGGCTCCTCGTGGCCACGGCTGAAGCCGCCTCGAAGTTCGGGACGAAAGCCGCTCCTGGAAATGTCCTGGGGCCGATTGGGGGGAGGCAGGAGGACGAGGAGACCGAGGAGAAGGAGGAGGAGGAGGAGGAGGAAGAGGAGGAGGAAGCGGAGGAGGAGAACGAGGAGGAGGAGTAGGAGGAAGAGGAGGAAGAGGAGGAGGAGGAGGAGGAGGAGGAGGATAAGGAAAACGAGGAGGAGGAGGAGGAGGAGGAGGAGGAAGAGGGCAATAGCGGGGCGGCGGCGGGGGGGAGGATGAGGATCGGAGTTGGGGGAGAAGCGGCCCACCTTCCCTCCCTTCGTGTGCACCCCCCCCTTCTCCGTTCCTCCGCTCCATCCCCTCTCCCTTCCCTCCCCCTCCTTCTTCCAAGTCCCCCTCCCCCTTTTTCGTCTTCCCCCTCGTGTTCTTCCACTGTGGAGGGACGCGGCGGCCCACAGGCGGCATCCCGCCCTGCGCGACGAGGCAGCAGAAGCCCTCCAAGGGGGGGGAGCCGGGCGGGGGCTGGGCGCCAGGGCCGAGGGTCGCGCAGTCTGCAGTGGCGCTGGGCGCCTCCGCAGTGTGGGCGTCGGCGCTGGACGGCGCGGGGTCGGCGCCAACTTCGGGGGAGGGCAGGGGCTCTGCGTTGGCGCCGCCTTGGAGGGGCGTCTTGAGTGCGGCTGTGGCGCCGTCGGGGTCGAGGGGCATCACCGCTTCCAGTGGCACGTCGCACGGCGCTTGGTCGCCGAGAGCGTGGCGCGTGAAGGTGGCCTCGACAGCGAGGGCGTCGGCGGCGCCGTCCTCGAGGCAGCCGTCGGAGGCGACGGCGCTACAGGCGAGGGCTGGGACGTCGACATCGGAGCCGCTCGATGTGAGAGCGGCGTCCGCGACGAGGCTCGCCGCGGTGGCCGCGTCAGCGGCGGCAGCGCCGCCGTCGTCGTCCTCCTCCTCCTCGGGAGGGAGCGGTGACGCAGTGCATCGGCGCCGCTGGAGGGGGCGGCGCCGCGCGGCCGCTGGAGCCGCAGGGCGCGGCGCCTGGCAGCTGCAGGGCAGGCCTGCGCCTCCTCCAATGCCTCCGCCGCCGCGGCGGGGGCGAGGGAGGGAGGGCGAAGGGCTCTGCCCTTCGCCCTCGCCTCCTCCTCCTCCTCCTCCTCCTCCTCCTTCTCCTCCTCCTCCTCCTCCTCCTCTCCTCTCCTCTCTCCTCCTCCTCCTCCTCCCTCCTCCTCTCCTCCCTCCCGCACTCCCTTCCTCCCCCCCTCCCTCCCATTCATCCTCCCTCCCTTCCTCCATCCCGCCCTCCCCCGACGCGGCGAAGGGCTGAGCCTGCCGCAGTCGCGAGCGGGCCTAGGCATGCCGGAAGCCCGTACGGTCAGGAGCTAGGGCGTGAAGAACGTTCTGAAGCCCGTCAGAGTGATGGTCGCGGAGCACATCAGGAAGTGCAGCACGTCCAGAAGCCGTGCCGGTGTGAAGAGCTTGCAGATCTTGCACTGGACCTGGTAGGTCTTGTAGTGGCAGCAGCGACCTCGCCCAGGGCGCGCGTGGCCAGCCGGAGCGGCCGCCGTCCTTCGCGGGCTGGCGCTCTGCCACGTAGGATATGGACTCGGGCTCGCCAAGGCAGACGTACTTGTCGGCGCGCATGCCAGGGCCGCAGTCTCCCCGCCAGCGGCGGGGGGAGCACACGGAGCCATGGCGGCGCAGCCGGGGAACGCCGGCGGAAACGTAAACGGAAGGGTTCGGCTCGGGCTCTAGGGGGGCCCTTGACGGTGTCGCCAAGACCGCACGGGCCGGAAGGCAACCTTCGCGAGGGCCCGCTCAAAAGTTTCGCGCCCGCGGGCGGAACCAGTCTCGGGCGGAGACAGACAGAAAGAGAGAGAGAGAGGGAGGGGCCTCGTGACCAGGCCGGGCGATTCGCGAGGGTCCTACGCCCCCCTCGGCTCGCAGCCACTGCTGCGCCCGGCAGGCGGTAGGGAGACAGAGAGAGAGAGAGAGACGGAGAGAAAAACAGAGAGAGAGAGAGAGCGGGAGGGGAAACAGTCACGCTGCGCCTTCTGTTGGCGCTGGCGCTCGCTCGCTTCCGTCCCCGCCCTCCCCCCTCGTCTCGCGCTGCGTGCTGCTCTGGCAAGCCAGATTTCAGGGGCCACAGCGTCACTCACCTGAGCGATGGAAGAGAACGGGGGTTGGCTGCACGGACATCCGCGGGTAAGGTCGCGCGGACGCGCCTTCTTCCACGCGGCGTATGACCCTAGACACAGCGTGAGCCGCGGCGTAAGGTCGCTATGTCTTCTCGCGTAAGGCCCGTTGATTTCGTCGTCCACCCTGTCCCTGATATCCGCCGGTCTGATTTTTTATCCGCGGCCTTGGAGGTCCTGACCACTTCCCCAGGGCAAGTGTTCGGTCCTGGTTACGTTTCTGATCGTCCCCCAGGCCCGAGAAAGGGCCTTTGCGGCCTAAATCGAGGAAAATGGCTTGGGCAGAAAAAGTTATATGGTCGGAGATGTGGGCTTCCGGGTCATAACTCAGCTCTTGGGCGGCCGTTTCCTGACGAGTCTGGCACCCCCGGAACGCCCTCGGCGAGGCGCAGCTAATTATTGGAGAGCATCCTGAGGCTAAAAGGACGCCGGGAACCGACGAAAACCATCATGTCGGCAGAGATTTGGGCTCTTAGCTATATTGGGAATCGACCAGTGGGTGTGCGATACATGGGGGGGCGACGACATGTGCACCTCTCGTGCTCTACAGGGGCCATCAGCCGCCGCGGCCTGTGTCCATTTGAGACAGAAGGCCGCCTGCCCAACAGCGGCCGCTGCTGGTTTGGGACAACATTTGTTGTTGGGCATTGTGCCCATCTCTTCCGTACCCATTTCGGGCGTCCGAAGACTTCGAGCCCATGATCGCCGTTCGGCAACATCGCCGTTCGGCAACATCGCCATGATGCGTGGTGACGAAGGATGGTCAGGGGGTTGTGGTGACTTGATTGCATGAATCATAATCATCCCCATCAGGCGATCCATCCTTACCACAATCATAGTGTGGTACTTCGAGCCCGACTGTGCCCCGAGGGCGTCCGCCGCTGTGGTCGTTCGTTCGTTCGCCTCCCCCAGAGGACGGGAGGGGGGGGGGGCGGCCCCCAGGCGGCACGTCCGCCTCGGCGCCCAGCGCCAGCCGGAGTCTTTGCTCTCGGCGCGAGGTTGATGAGCAGCGGCCCGACGCCTCCCCCTCCGACGGGGAGGGAGGAGGAGGAAGAGGGAGGAGGAGGGAGGAGGAGGAGGAGGAGGAGGAGGAGGAGGAGGAGGAGGCGGAGGAGGAGGAGGAGGAGGAGGAGGAGGAGGCGGAGACGGAGGAGGCGGAGGAGGAGGAGGAAGAGGAGCAGGGTTTCTCCCCCCCCCTCCGACCAGGCGAAGGAGGCGGGGCGCCAGGCACTGGCCGCTGCGCGGCGGCCAGACCCCTCCCCCTCCGACTCTCCGGGGCAACGTCGGAAGGGGGACCGGCTCAGGGGAGGAATCCATGATCCGATGTTTTCGCAGTATTCGTGGGTTCTCGGCGGTGTTCCAGCCTCGGGATGCTCGCCAGCAGCTGCGCCTGGCTGAGAGCTTTCTGGGGGCGACCGGATCGTCCCGAGCGGCCGCTGGAGGCCCGAGTTGTGGCCCGAAAACCACCCGGCGTCGATGAGGGGGTGAGGACCATGTGGGGGGCAACGTTTGGATGGGGGGAGGAGAGGGAGGAGGAGGAGGAGGAGGAGGAGGAGGAGGAGGAGGAGGAGGAGGAGGAGGAGGAGGAGGAGGAGGAGGAGGAGGGGGGCCGGCCCAGAGGGGGACGCACCGGCCCCCAATCGCCCCCTCAGCGCCGATGGGGGCCTAGTGGCCCGCCCCGCCCAGGAACGTGCGGGTTCGCTCTCGGGGGCCTGTCGCCGATCTATCGGAGATGTATCGCCGATTCCAGCTCGATGCTTCCCCTCCTGCGGCGGTCCCCCCCTGAGTTTCCCTGCATTGCTGCGCGGCGACCGGGTCCCTCCCCGTCCAAGGCGGGGGAGTGGGAGAGGGGCGAGAAGCCCCGAGACCTTCGCGTCGCAGTTTTTCCGAGGGGGCGCAATCATGGGTTGAGGCGCGTGAATTAGGGAAGGATCCCGCTTCCATGCAAGATCGACGCGCTGCGTCGTCACATCGGCCGGCCTTGGCTTCATATTTCGCGGGGTACTTTCCCCGATCCGTGGATCTGGCGCCCACGCGCCAGACCCGCGGACCCGTAATCCATGTCGGCGTGCGCCCGACTTTTCCACACTGGGCTCCAAGGCTGTTGGCACGTCTTGGGGCGCTCTGGGGCCCGAAACGGTCACGTGACAGGCCCCGAGAAGACGCGGGAAGGCACAGGAGATTTGTGAATGTGGGCTCCGCTCCCCTGGAAGACTCCACAGGAGTGCTCAAGGGATCAGGCAACGGACCTGAGGACACGTCCACTCCGTGCCCAGCAGCGCGGTGGCGGATAAGAAGATGCAGGAGCGAGATGAGGAGGACGAAGCCTTCCCCTCTCTCACCATCCGCATACCACTTTCACAATTGGCCCCTCAATCTCCCTCGTC